ACTGACAGAGTCTCTGTTACACTGCCCACACTGTTATAGTCCAGAGAGCCACGCTCCCACTGATGCACTCACAGCACTCTGTAGATGTTCACCTCACACTGCGACATCTGTATAAATGTAACACATCTGTATATCCTGTATAACAATATATTATTTGTACACATCTGTTCCCACCTTCTATACGACCCATATGTATATATAATCTGCTCCTACTGCACTTCTGATTGGATGCCAGCTGTATTACGTTAAACTGTACTTATACATGTGTAATGACAATAGAGTTGACTCCTCCTCCTGAGCACCGGGCCGCCTCAGGGCTGAGTCTTGAGCCCTTAAACGTTCAATGTTTGGTACAAATCACATCATTAAGCACAGACGCACAACAGCATCTGCTTTTTAAGGAGGCACACCCGAGTCCTCAGCACGTTCTACAGACGCTCCACTGACAGTGCTGACGGGCAGCATCTGTGCGCGTGCGCCCCGAGGAGAGCGGCGAGGTTGCCGAGAGGACCAGTGGGGCCACGGCGTCATCTGTTGAGAGCCGACCACGGCCTGCTCGCACAGGAAACCTCTTTCCAACCGCCATCAGACTGCTGAACGAAGCAGCGGCCTCTCTCGAGGTTACTACACAATCTGTCAACAAAACGTTTCAGTGCGATCATAATTTATCCGTTTGGATATTTACCACTGTGTTTATGACATTTGAGGCTTGTGTGTGTTTTTGTGTGAGCAGTGCTGAGTGACAACACAACGAATCCGAAACATCAAACAGCGAGTGCGAGGTTCACCAGTTTTTATTCAGCAGTCACCACACAGACCGTTTCTACGGCAACACACATCATGATGAACACACGGTGAAGAAAATGCACGAGCGTCAGCTGGTTTCAGCGAAGAAAACAAAAACATGACGTCAACACAACATCAAAGAAAAGCTTTTATTTCTGACACATGTGAAACTTCACACTTTGACCTGAGCAGAGGAAACGAACAGAGCGCACGGGTGGAGAAGAGCGCGCACGGGTGGAGAAGAGCGCGCACGGGTGGAGAAGAGCGCGCACGGGTGGAGAAGAGC